CCATTGTATAAAACTAAATTTTTATTTAGCAGAATGTGTTAATTCCAAATAGCTTCTTTATGGTTTAAGACCCCCTATTCTTGCCCCTATCAGTATGAAAGCACATCTGGCTTAGAACTGTGTAATCCTATGCACGTGTTACAGTATCTATAAGTTATTACATTTAACATTCCTGTTTTTTTTTTTCTGGAAGACACTATTTTGATGGAGCCATCCATGACCTCTGCCTCTCAAAATCTTTAAGCCTCTCTGGGCCTTGAGGGGAGAGGTTAGATGAAGACACCTGATTTACACTAAGTGTCTCCAAATTTTTGCTCTTGAACATTGTTTAGTTGTGGATTCCTTTGTTAATTAACATGAACTACAAAAAGAAGCTTCTCTCATGAAGGCTGAACAACACACTGATCTATGGGTATATCAATATATCATTAGGACTAATTTTGTTTCGGTCTTCTTTTAGCAGAATAATAGTAGTAGGTTTTCCTCTAGGCCCATGTCCTTTTCTAAGGATGTTGACCACTTCAGCAGTGCCTTGCGTGGGCTCTGTCTTATAAAGTAGTTCTCAAATCTATTCTAAAAGTGGTTGTTTACTCTCAGAACATTTGTTCACTATTGCACCAATATGTTCTATACACATTTATCTATGGTTGACGTAAGGCTATGACATTTTTTGGTCAGAGGACATTGAGAAATTAAGCTTACACAGACTGAGAAATTTCATCCCTACTGAACAGCTTTCATAGTACCCAAAGAAGGTGCTAAGTAGGCTGAAAGGAGAGAAAAAAACATCAACAATTTTATCCAGATATGATATGGCCTGAAAAGTCATGTTTATGGAAAAATACATATATATCTTTCCTTACCATAGAAGCTTCTTCTATGCATTGGACCATGGTTAATACAGAAATTCACATCTTGTCAAAGTTCAGAGAATAATTGCCTGTGGAGTCCTTAGCCAAAATTTGGATATCTGTATCACAACCTTTCCCACTGTCACTCAGAAAACTCCAACAAAGATGGGGCTAGATAATGTAAGTTCCACATATTGGGAAAAATGAGAATGAAACCATGTCTTTTGGACTTCATAGGACAGTTAGTCTTATTGCCTCACAACATTTGTAGCTGACTACACAAAATTGGTACAAAAATCAAGCCAATTATCATTATAGCATAGAGAGGGAAGGGCACAAAAGCCCTCATCCCTTCCTGGCTTCTACTGACAGTTGATGGTTCTTTGGAGATGGAGGGAGGGAGGGGATGTCTACTTTTTGAGGGGTGTCATCCTTTGAGATTTACTATTCTCCATGGATGGCCATACTTCCTTTCATATATGTGCAGCATAAATTGGATTAAGTGGGAAATTGGGTTGGGTTTTCATGGTGGAAGTTGATCAGAAAGGAGTTAAAAAGAGGCATGTGGGGGAGAAATGACTCAACTCCACTGTATGCACATGTGAAATTCATGGGATTTAATAAAACATTGCAAATGTATGTGACATTCTCATTAAAGTACATTCAGTTAAACCTGATCAGTTTCCCTCAAATCTGTCAAAATCCTCAACTTAAAGAAATTCAAAGAAAATTCCTGAAAGGTGATATAATGACTAACTGATCTGATACGTTGAATAGAATCAGGGAACAGAAAGACTGACTATGAAGACTTTAACTAATAACCTCGAGTTACAATGTTTGATTACTTTTGAACAAATCCTCCAAGTAAATATCATTAATAACATGGCATTTTTGCAAGAAATAAACTCTTTATCTTACTAGAAGCTCATAGTCAATACTCACAGAAAGAAATATCTTCTGATGTAAAATATAGTTCCCCAGGTTTTGGAATTATTGTAAAATTAGTAGAATATGACTTTGAATAGAAACACGACTTTGATAGGTAAAAACATTGACATGTAATAATTCATCATACATAGACAAAAGCATAAGAAGGAAATAGGCTTGAGAGTTATTCTGAAGAGTAAAAGGAGGAAATACCTTCTGTCTCCAGGGATTAGGTAGAAAAATAAGTATTCACTTCTTTATCTGAAAGTAGAAATGGCCTTAGATTTTAGAGAAAATTTTCTTTCATCTTGATGTATAGCTGTGTTTGATTCAGCATGTTTTTTTTTAATGATATTTTGTCTATGTCTGGTCAATACTTCTACCCATTTCACCAAAACTTCTAATTATTCATAGTTAGTAGAGATTTAACAACTTTACAATGGTGTATTACTAGCACCAACCAAATATGACACAGTGAAAGATGGAATAAATTGAAAAGAGGATTACTGCAACATAAAAGCCTTAAGCAAATACAAACTAAAGACATAATTAGGAACACCCGTCACTTCAAAGGCTTATACATCTTATTCCTGCAAAAGTTGTTTGAAACTCAGTTATAAAGTGACAATGACAGAATGAATGAGAATGATTCAGCAGCCTGTTATGAGAGAGATTAATAGCCTCCATTCACAGACAAGTTCATCTCTCTGTAAAAATTATAGTGCCTTTAGGTTACCTTAGAAGAAAAGGATTAAGTATATGATAGATCTTGTGTGTGAGTCATCGACTATGCTAATTTCCTATCAACATTGGCATTCAAGTAATATGCAGCATAGGCTTCGCATTTGCACATTACTTAAAATTGTGTTAAAGTGGAAAGTATTTAATTACTATCATGGGCAAAGAAAACGAACTACTTATTGTTTGAGATACAATCAAGGTCAGTATTTAGCTGACTGCCAACCAAGCAGAAACTGTCTAGTATATTCTTACTCAATTTATATTAATAATACATTAATATTATATTAATGTATAATTATATATTAATTAATTAATAATGTATAATATTATATTAATGTAGAATTAATGTATAAGAAATTTATATAAAATAAAAGATAAATATTCTGCCTTTATGTCTGAGTTAAAGCATGACCTTCTTCCACTGAAACAGATTAACATGGTTCTGTCCAGATTTATCCAATGTCACTCAACACTCAGCAGTCCAAGCAACCTTAACATAAGAAGCAAATAATAAAAATGAGTAAGTCAGATATGAATAGATCTGTTTCCAATTATTTAATTAGTATATATACTAATATATACTAATATAATATAGTGTTATGAAAAACATTTGATTTTATCTCAGTATTTATTTATTTATTTATTTGAACTAAGATTTTTAGGACTCAATATAATTTGAATATTTACTATAGTCTTAGTTACATTTCTATTGCCAGGAAGGGGCAAAGGTCAACCTATAGAAGAAAGAGTTAATAGGTGTTTATAGTTCCCAAGGGTTCCAGTCTATGACCATCATAGCTGAGAGCATGGCAGCAGGCAGGAAGACACTGTATTCATGCAGTAGCTTAGAGCTTATATTGTGACACAATAACCACAAGGCAAAGAGAAAACTAACTGAGAATAACATGTCCTTTCTAAACCGCAAAGCCTGTGATAAATTCCCTTCAATAAGGTCACACTTCCTATCCTTCCTAATCTGTTCTCCCAAATAAGAATAAAACATCTAAATAACAAGGCTATGTAATATTCTGATTCAAGCCAACACAACTAAAAACTAAGGAAAAGGCAGATGCAGACAGTACATAATATTATAGGGTGCCTACTACATGCTAGGACTTACTTCATTGTATTGGATGTGGAGTCATTTTGTTCTATAGGACAGCAATAACAAATTTCAGACAAATTTGACAATGAGACTCCATATAAAATCATGTTAAAAATTGTTAAAATTCAAAGATATTAACCCATAGTGGAGATGAGATGTACATGAAGCCCTTTTAGACATTTATATCTACAAATATACATTCACACATACACACACGGCACAAAATGACTATACAGTAATTATACATAAAGGTCTACCAACAAAAAGCATTTTCATTTAAAATTAGAGAATTAGGTTTATTGGCATTGTGAAACATTATATTCTAATGAAACTGTAACTACTGCAGGACCTCTTATTTTTGGACTACCCCTCTGTGAGGAGCCGCACTCACATTCGCCATTACAAGATGGCGCTGACATCGATGCCAGATCAAGTAAACAACGTTGGTATGCATGTGCTCAGTGTTTTTCCACTGCCTAGCCCTGTCTATTCCATGGCGTCATATAGGGTGATGAGTCAGCCACCGATCCCAGCTGGACACGCATCGCTCAGAGTTTGTGAGCCTTTATTAGGGGACGGGATTCTTGGCTCGGGGTCTCCGCTTTTGTAAGCTTATGCTCTCTCTCTCAAATCGCATAAAAGCTTTACTGCAGAAGGATCCGAGTGTCCTGTGTTGTTCTTGCTGGCGAGACAATCACGCGGGACATCTGGTGCCGAAACCCGAAAACTTGTTAACATCGCCGGCACCGCGGAGACCCCTCGGACGGGGCAGATTCAGAACTGCAGGGTGGTAAGTTTGGATAGGTATGCTGACACCTTCTTATTCTGACACCTTCTTTTTTGACTTTGTTCTTAATTTGTCACCACTATGGGATGGATCAGTAAAAGCCTTAATTCTAGTCTTTATTCTTCTTTTGTTCACATTGGTCTTATATTGTGCTCACCGTGGCTGGTGTTCCAGTTCGAGACCAAGCTAACCCCAGGTAGCCGCCAGCATGATGGGCTCTTCAAAATAGAGAGACCTAATTAAAAACTGTCTAGAGATTGAGGCTTGCCATCCCACGGTAGCAGAGAGTCAAAAAACGCTTAAAGAGGTACAGGATAATATATCAGAAACCGAACGAGATGAGAGATTAGGAGCTCAAAAAAGGAAGGACATGTCTAAGAAAAAAGGCTCTCCCCAGGATACAAAAAAGGGGGGAGAGAAAATAGGGAATAACCGGTCACATCCCGGTAAATTTAAGAGACCTGTTAATCCAGCGGGTGTACTTCCATCAGCACCCCCATTATATGAGTTACAACAAAAATT